CACAAACACACACGCACACACATGCTAGTTCTTTCCTCAGTATAAGTACAATAAAAAGAAACTTTTAAATGTTATACTGTAATTTCCAAAACAGATCATTTACAAAATTAAAAGGAAAAGGTCAGGAAAAAACAAACATACATAATTTAAAATCAATTCTTAGCCAAAGATATGGGGTGAAAAAGTTTAATCCAAAGATCGTATATATCAAATCTTAATCTTACTGACACCGGGGCGTAGTTTAAGAACTGTGTCACAAAACAGTTTAAACATACTCAAAGAACAAAAGCAACCAAACATTTAAAATGCAGGGTGAGTGTAAACATAATCATGTCTATAATGTATCATGCATGTATTGATTTATCTACAATGTATGTGTTTTTTCTTACTAATTGAAAAATAAAGAAAAAGAGTAGGAGTAGAAACGTCAACACTACTTATGAACTTAACGGTACTGAACTGCTTTGAGCATATTGTTCACTTAAGAAACGTTCTGGAATAAAGATAGAAAGCTCAAGGGAGGAAAGGAAGGGCCAAGATGAGACCAGTCAGAACAGGACATAGACATATCATTTAGAACCAAAGCAACTAAGGCAGGCAGTATGGTAAGAGACAGAAAGGTCCCAGGAGCAGCGTCCAATTACTGGAAAGGCTGAAAAAAGGGAAGAAAGGGTAACAGGAAATGTTCCTTTTTTAACTTAAAACTATGACCCAAAAATAAAAGAAAACGTGGAAAGGGGGAATGGGGATGTATGGTAGATTCTAAATATTTAATGTATTATGACAGATTTTATAACTCAAAATGAAGAAAACAAACCGTGGCTTCAACGAAGAGAATCAGGTACCGAAGTCCTCTCACACTCCTTGATATGTTCTTTGATGTGCGCTAGGGTTCTTTCTTCTAAACATTTCATGTTTTGAGTTTAGAAAGGTGCTAAAATCCATTATATCCACAAACAATTTAAAAAAATATTTTAGATACAAAAATATATAGACATTCGCTTCATGTACAATATTTTTTTTTCTTTAAGAGGACTTCAATTAACATCCCAGACCCCCTTTGGAATCCCGATCCCCCCCCCCCCAAAAAAAAAACAACAACAAAAAAACAAAAAACAAAACAAACAACGCACAAAAAACAAGCACTAAACTCACGTCCCATCCCCTGCCTCTCTCTCTCTCTGTGTCTCCACCCCTTCTCTCTCTCTCTCTCTCTCTCTCTCTCTCTCTCTCTCTCTCTCTCTCTCTCTCTCTCTCTCTCTCTCTCTCTCTCTCTCACACACACACACACACACACACACACACACACACACAAACACACACGCACACACACACATTTCTCGATTCGCAGATTCAATGCACTCTCGACCAACCATTGTTTCTAAGTCTCTGAATAAGATTCATCAGAATTTGCGCCTTGATATCATTGATCACCTTCCCATAGTGTACACCATCATAACTTACTATACCCGTGGTCAAGGGAAGTGAGTCCAAGATAGCGATGTTATAACCTTTCAAAATCATCTTCATATTCTTAATGAAATCGATGACTGAATCTTTCTGCTGCTTTATGAAAGTCGGCGACTTGAGTGGGCCTGGGCAGTGAGGAGTGGCCCATACTATCTTGGGCCATTGGTTCTTTCCAACAATGTTAACCATTGGCTTCACGACCTGAGGACAAAAATTCTTGTTGAACTATGTTTTACTTGCTCGAGCCCGAATATTTCTTTTATAGATCTTTACATAATAAAAAATTAAGACCTATATTGTGTCAAAGAAGACGTAAAAAAACTAATGTAATACAGGGTGATCCCCAAAAAACCTGTACAACTTGTTTTGTAGATATCTTCCTCCGTATTAAAGTTTTTCGTTTCAGATTTGAACACAATATTTGGAAGCCAAAAGGAATTTGTCTGATATTCAGTTTAGATAAGTCCATTGAATTGTTTTGCTCTTCCGGGTGCATTAAACAACAACCCATTTTCAAACATGTCGCCATTTTCATGAATTCATAGCATGACGCACCAGTTTGCATCAGGCCTACCACTAAAAGTTGCATCAATCGCGCCATATTGGAAATAACAGCAGTCCAACAAGTCAACAGAAGTCTGCAGATATTATTTTCCCCAAATTTCGTTTGCCTGCTAAGATCCTGGTTACGTTTAGTAAAGAACAGAGAGCATGTTGTATAGAACATTTCCTCACCGCCAACCCACCATCCCTGACATTTCGTAAGTTCTGCGCACGGCATGGAGAGAATTCTTAGGTGCCCTCAATACCTTTGGCACCATGAGTAGAGAAGTTCCGTCAATTTGGATTGATAAGGAATCAGAACTAAAAATGTCCTAAAATAACCACTTCAGGTCGAACACACATCATGCACAGCCCTTTAAACGTCACCAGGTTGCAGATTTCAGTAGTAGTCACATGAGACGTCTGTCCGTTGACGGTCTGCAGCTAGGACTTTCCTACACCTCAACAGTCTGCATTCTCGTGGCAGATCTTAACCTACGACTGTACCATTTCATCTTCGCCAAGCCGAAATGACATGGATCAGAGCATGGCAATGTGTTCATGACTCCTCGATTGTCTTCAAAAAGCGAGATATTTTCCTCGATGACTTTTGGTATCGTGCAAAACCCATTTTCACTCTATGGGATCCGTTAACTCCAAAAATGCTGTTTATAGGGCACCCCACTCCCTATTGTATCTAGAAGCCATTTCATACTGAATATGTACAGTGTGTGTGGCTTTAAACACTCATGGTTTGCAGGTCCTAGTGTTTGGGCGCCACTGAACATTTCGAACGACGCGTTAAAAATGAATCGAGCCCAAAAGAGGGTATGTAGAGCACTGCTTCTAGGAATTTCAAAATGAAATAGTTAGTTTTTTTAAAACTCTGTAAAACAAATTTAGTACTGTTTACATGTCACAGGGATGGAAAATTAAATGTTAAAGAGAAAGTAAAAAAAAGTCAACCAATCTTTTCACGACTTCCTTTAAAAGAATTGAAAAAATGGATGGGTTCTGCAGTTTTTGATACTTTCGTCTATTGCCATTTCAGTTTTCAAAACAAGTTTCTTCTTCTTGGATTTTATGTCAAACAAATTCCTTTTAATGAATTATGTCTGTTCCAAATTACAGCATTCCAGAACAATTATTGTGCGAGATATTCAGAAAAAAAGTTGTACAGTTTTGTTTTCTTTGGATCACCCTGTATATTATTGCTTTTATACATAATATAATAATATTGCTGTTATAAGATATAAATAATGATATTGCTGTTATGGATCTTTTCTTCTAAAAAAATTATGATCTATATTGTGTCCATTAAGGCGTAAAACACTAATATATAATAATGTTGCAGTTACTATTGGCGATGTGTTCACGCCTTACTATCCGGCGTCTGGGATGTAACAGTTAGTTGGGTGTTTCCAGTGGCACGCAGGAGACCCAAGTTCGATTCTCGTGTGGGAGAATTTTCATCGAGTGTCTCGAGGTCTCTCCGCTGGGATGATGCGTCTCTACCACCCGGAACAGGCCCTGAAAAGCAGAGAGACAGCCCGCCTCCCACATGCTTTAAAATGTGGCAATAGGGACGTAAAAATACGTACAATAAAACAAAAAACGCCCTTCTAACATAAAACAGGTGATTTTGAAGAGGAGCATTGGAGCTCCCCCAGGACACAAGGCTAAGATGAAAATGTTACAGACAGGACGAAACCTTATTTAGCACCCCACCGGATTCAAACTTAAACTCAGCATGGCAAATCAAGTTTCTTACAGCAACAGCCCTCAAGAATTAGCAATTCAAATGCAGTACGTGTACCCCCAAAACGAACAATAAAACAAACTCATAACAATAATTTATCTTTTTAAAAAAAAGTTACGCCTACATGAATTCTTTGAAATAAAAATCCACACAAAGGTAAAACAAACAGACAAACAAATAGATCAGCTCAAAACTGTCGCAGTCTTAATAAAATGTGACTCTTCTTGTTTACCGCGATATCTTGCTACCTGTTCTAAAAAGCTCCCGCATGAGGTAATATTATAATCAGATCCATAATACCCACATCCATTAGCGAATGTTCTGCGTTGATGGTCTGTTTGCATTATCCCGTATCACCTACGACAAAGTGTTGAACGAACTACTGAGAAAATACCACACCTTCTGAACAAACACGCCCAGTATTGGTAAGCTTGTCATGCCATTCTATTCGTAAAATAATTTTCGGGCAGTCTCATGCAAAAGTTGTTGAGCTATTTACTTACATGAATAGATTGCCCTTAATATTCAGTTTTCATTCTTTAGGTTCTACTTGTTCAAAAGTGGACGGGACATCAAGACAACGTAACGAAATTCATTGTTCATGCAAATGTATCCAACTGCTTTTACTTTAATGATGTTGAAAAAATCCGTTTTATTAGTGAGATCTCTTTTTTTGTAATTTGCTCTGTTTTGGAAAGGATTCTTTGTGAGATCCCGGTTGTAAAAGGTGGATTATAGTCTTGAATTAAATTCGGAAAGATCTTCTCATACCTTCACAAGTCAAAGGATCAGCGAAAGGTTCCCATTCCCCCCTCCCCCTCCCCCCCCCTCTCTCTCTCTCTCTCTCTCTCTCTCTCTCTCTCACACACACACACGCACACACACACACACACACACACACACACACACACACACACACACACACACGCACACACACACACACGCACACACACACAAATAAGCACACGCCTGCACAAGCACTCGCAAAACCTTACCTGTTCATGTAAAAACTGGAAATTTAGGTCCTCGTGCAAACCTAAGCCAATGTAAAGAATAGAATACTGCTTTCCAACAAGCCCTTTTACAGTTCCCAGGAGTTCCTGTTGTAATTTTCTGTCCAATTTAAAATACTTGTAAAACTGCATTTTAACCTGAAAAAAGAAACCCGACACATATTGCAATAAGTCAGTTCCATTTATATGTTATCAGTACGAACCATTCCAGTCTGCCTATTGATCGAACTACAGCACAGAAACAGCATTTTTAAACGTAAGACATGGATGACAAACTTGCTGGCTGTGGTTCAGGAAAAGTTGTTTAGTTGAACTTTTTTGATCTGTCAACACCTCTTCATACAATTGATCATTATATTTCATTGGAGCGATTGAAAGTGTGTTTTGGAATAACTGGGACAGCCTTTCGCTGGTTTTGTTCTTATCTATGAAATCAATGCCAGCATATTATCATGAAGGGACACAAGTCATAGAATCATGTTCTTATGTATAGATCCCCCACGGCTCAGTTCTGAGCCTAGTTTTTTTTTTTCATCCTTTATACTCAACCGATTGTCACAGAAATAGTTAAGTATACCTTAAGGTGTCATTTTTATGCTGAGAATACCCAAATCTACGGTTTAACAATGTCTACCAACTTAGATGAACTTGTGTATTGTGCTGAAATAAATTGTAACAGGATGAACAAAAACAAACTGAAGTTGAATGATGATAAAACAGAAGTCTATTTTGCAAGCAATGGGAAGTTCAAAGAGGCTGACAATAATCACATGAAAATTGGTGATGCGGAAATTGCATTTTCAAGAAGAGATACAAATCTTGGCATCTATTATGAGTCCCGTTTATCAATGTTGGCTGAAGTAAATCATCTGATCAGATGAATGTAGACGTATTTTGAAATATTAAGAATAAATGAAATACGTTATCTAATCAATTCTAAATGCACTGTTTTATTTGTAGAGCTTAGTTTAATTAAGACTCGATTATTGTAAATCTTTATATTAAAATTAGGAATGTCTCTGGAGTAAGTGAAAAGACTGTCCAAAACAATGCTGAACGTATGTTTTTCCAAAGAGAAACACTGCTACACCTCTCTTATGATCTATTACAGAAACTGCGCTGGCTTCCTGTTGAGAAAAGAAATTCACGAAGTGGCCTCTGAATATTAGCCACATATTATGCTTAAATGATAATGAGCCATCATATTAAATATATCAAATCTGTTGAAACTGAACATATCGTTAGCTATACCAGTGCACATTGTTAGTGCTATTTTGAGATAGAAAAAGGATAAAAGATAATATGTGAAACTGACAAGTGTTCAAAGTAATTAACAAGCCGATATTTTGTGGTTTTCCAGCTTTATTTTGGTTCATGCCTGTGCGTCTTCTGCTTTGTTTTTCCAGACCACCGATTATTATTATTATTATTATTATTATTATTATTATTATTATTATTATTATTATTATTATTATTATTATTATCATCATCATCATCATCATCATCATCATTTTTTGGTAAGCAGGGTAGGAGGGAGAGTCTTGTTTTAATTTTAGACAAAAATAAAATAACAATATAAAATGTTTAAATTTGTTTAATAGCTCAACGTTTCGCCCCGTGGGCTTCCTTAGGAGCAACTGAGAGAAAAACTAAGTGAGCGCTGTATATTAGCAGGGAAATGGGCCTAACAAAGGGGGTCTCAGGGTTACGTGTGGTTACAGGCTAGACGGAAGTGACTAAGTGGGTGCCAGGCCAAGGGGCTAACTATAAATAAATTGATGCTAGTCCTCAAGGATATCAATTGTATCTCTACGAGAGGCTGACAGGAAGTTAATTGTGTGAACGTGTGATGAAAGAGGAAAATGTATAGAGGCATCCCAGTTGGAGGCAAAATCATCATCATCATCATCATCATCATTATTATTATTATTATTATTATTATTATTATTATTATTATTATTAAAATTATTATTAATATTATTATAATTATTGGTATCCTCATTATTATTGTTATTATTATTAATAATATTATCATTATTACTATTATTATTTTCATCATCATTACTATTATTATTTATTATTATTATCATTATTATTATTATTATTATTATTATTATTATTATTATTATTATCATAATTATTATCATTATTATTATTATTATTATTATTATTATTATTATTATTATCATTATTATTTTTATTATTATTTTTATTTTTTTTATTATCATAGTATACTTTTTACCGAAAGAGGGGAGGGGGGGGGGTGCATGGACGAACAATACAACCGCAGCAAGCAAATCAATCAGAAAGAGACAATATTTGGTATCATCACTAAACGCTGTTGAGGAAAGGCTGTTCTAACCTTACAGTCACGAGGTACACTCTAAGGTGAATGTCTCTTTTCATGAGGGGTTGAGATGCAAAACCCGCTACATCCATTTTTGCACTTTCGAGAAAATCAGCTTTTTTAAATGCTGCTATACGTACGGACATGCGTAAAAGATGACATTTTTGGTGGCTTTTGTTAAGCATGAGTTGGGTTTTTGCCGAAAACACTTTGTACATCCGATAGCCGGTAACAATGTGCAATTATATGTGAAAAAAAACAGCAATTTGTTTCCCCAAAATGTCGCTTAGCGGGTTGTGCATTCTACCCCCTCATATATTTTATTATACATATATAATTTAAATGAAATATAATGTAATATATAAAACTCAACTGCTCAAACATGAGCATGCACACAATATATTACAAACATATCCAGCTTGTGAAAACACAACGAAGGATGCGATTGGTTTAGGCCGTGTAGTTGCATACAGAAAACAGAAAGCAGCAAGACATTGTCATCTGACGAAAGCCCTGTGAATACGTAGTTAAGCACATCATGTTCTTAGGGCTGGGCGTGTCGTACACTTTAACCCCATTACAAGGCCTTTGAGAGCGTGGGCCATTTCTACTATGGGATTTCCTGGCTATCGAACGCTATATATGTACGATCATTGGGTTTTTCAAAATTTGCACCTGAGACTAGGCTTTCTTAGTACCTAGACCTGAGACTATCGATGCTGTTCTTACCGTTTGGTTACACTCAGTGACTTCTCCCCAAGGAACGTGCCGGGAGCTGCCCAAGTAGTTTATCTGCTCTCGGCATTGTTGTCGATTGCCTGGAAGAATATTAATAAATAATAATAAATAGCACATGTTTAACGCCTATCGCCGCTTACATCCTCACACCTTTTTAAAAAAAAAAATCCTAACGTATTGTTTATCTCCTCTTTGGAGTATTGATATCAGGGAAGTCAAGATCTAAAGGAAAGGGAAGTTGTCCTTGGGCAATGTCTTTACTGACCAGACAAAGCTGTATCATGCAAGCTCACCGACTAGCTTTATGCGCTTTCAATCTATATTATAATCATTGCCCCAGCAGACCCTACAACACATAAAAGCATTCTCGGCTTACTGGAAGCATACAGTACAAGCAGCTGCTTAATTAAGAGCTTAACTCTTAACAAACGGACCAGATTGTTCGCTGTCTCTAGCTGGGTACCGATTCCCACCTAGATGAAGTGCGGAACATTAGGGTACACTCGATCTCAACGCGCCGACACATTTGTTTGAAATAGGTTGTTCGATTCCACTGCATTGGGACGTCATTCATCCAAAATTGAAGCAAACTAAGGACGGACAATGGATAGGCTTCTAGGTGGTAAAGAATATAATAAACGAAGTGTATACAGACCCGGTAACCGGGAACAAAGTCACGAAGTATACAGACCCGGTAGGGGAACTCTTTTGTGATTTCGGGAAGTTTCAGCCCCCAGACCCGGTAGAAATCTAGTGTATGTATGTGTATGTGTGTGTGTGTGTGTGTGCGTGTGTGTGTGTGTGTGTGTGTGTGTGTGTGT